CAAAGTTCATAAAGTTAATATGCATTGTTTTTCACATCGGACCTAGAATCCCTTTTCACTCACAGTTATGAGGCTTATTAGGGAAGCAGGTTTTGGGGGACAGGAAAAGGATATCAAAGGATATCCAGCTTCAGTAAGTAGCAGTCCCAAAACAAACCAGGTTAGCTGAAAGACACAATCCAGTGATTAGGTCAGACAGTTTCTCAATCAGCAGCAAGATACAGGCCCTCAGTTAATCCAAGCAGTTTCCCAGTCAGCAGTAGGAGAACTCTTTGCAGGAACTTCTGGCCCTAAAGGATGAACGTTGCTTTCCCTTCTTGCCTGGTTTGAGGTTTTGTCCCTGGCTTCATCTGGCTCCATCAGGCAACTCCTTGCCACAGTCTGACATGCTCTCTCTTATACTGGCCTTGATGATGTTGAAGGTGCTGGTCACAGTGTACCATGTGTCTGGCTGTGATTGGGGCAGCTGGAGAATATTCCCCCTGGGGAGCTCAGGGTGGCAGGTGGAGCCTCAAAGATTCATTTTACTTATGAGTTCCCACTTGGGTGTGTGGTTAGGTTAGGTCAAAGGCAATAGATAGAGAAGTCATTCATAAAATCCCAACAGCACAGCTAATAAACCTATCTTTAGTTTGTATTCAACCTTCAAATGCCAGTACTTTCCGTGTAAGGATTCAATATAGGATAATAAGTAAGGAAAATACATAAAATCTGAAGACATTTTTATCAAGGTACTGTAGAACTAATGTAATTGGAGTTGAGTTTGGGCTGGAAGTGTGAAGATTGGAACATATATATGTGTGAATATGTTGGGTTGGTAATAATCTAGGTAAAATATTGAAGACCTGAATTAAGATATTAACTGGGGATTGAGTTAAAGGGTGCTATGGATTGAATTGGGTTCCCTTAAAAAATATGTGTCACCTTGGCTAGTCCATGATTCCAAGTATTTAGTAATTTTCCTGAATTTTGTGATCTGATATAATTATCAGGTGCGTCTGATATAGGCTTTGGTCGTTGCAATCACTTGTTATGCATCAGAGAGTTGGACAATGACTAAAGAGGATAGAAGTAGAATTGATGCCTTTGTGCTGTGGTGCTGGAGAAGAGTGTTGAATGCACCATGGACTGCCAAGAAAACAAACAGATTCATCCTCGAGAGGGTTAAACCAGGCTGCTCCTTGGAGGCAAGGTTTCTGGGGCTTCGTCTGACATACTTTGGACATGTTGTAAGGAGGGACAGGTCCTTGGAGAGGGACATCATGCTTGGGAGGGTGGAGGGATGGCGCAGAAGGGGAAGACCCTCTATGAGGTGGATTGATTCAGTGATTGGGGTAATCGGGATGGGTGTGTCAGAGGTAGTGAGATTGGCATAGGATAGAGCAGGGTTTAGGGCTGTTGTACATAGGGTTGCTATGAGTCGCAAACACCTCGACGGCACATAACAACAACAACAACAATCTTTATGATATTAATACATTGATAAAGCAGGATTAAAATGAGAACTGAGGCACAAACAAGAGACTTGTACACCAGTGTTCATAGCAGCATTATTCACTATAGCAAAAATATGGAAACAGCCCAAGTGCTCAGATGGAATGGATTGAGAAACTATGATACATTTACACAGTGGAATACTATGTAGCATGCAGGAGCAATGATGTTGTAAATTACTACCAAACATGGGAGGGACTGGAGAGCATTATGTTAAGTGAACTCACTCAGTCTCATAAAGACAAATACTGTATGAAACCGTTATTGTAGAGCTTTTACGAGGATCCAAGGGGGGTGGACCTTAAACATAGGGTCACACAATTTGATGGGCAGAGGGAGGAGGGATTGGTAAAGGAAAGGGGAGAGATCCAGTGTGAAAAACAATGTATATGAACTTTATAAAGTTTGCATGTAAAGTAGTATAAAATATTTTTTTAAAATCAGGATTAAAATAAAGTTTAACTCATTGCTGTTTTTTTAAATTATTATTTTATTATTTTGTGCATGTACCGTCAAATTGGATCTGACAGGTACAGGAGGAGATTGTACCTCCTTCTCCAGCAGAGCATCTGGTGGATTTGAACCGCATACATCTGGGATTGCAGTACAGCTTCTTGCCACTAGGCCACCAGAGCTCCCTAACTCATTGCTGTTAAGTTGGAAACTCACACAGGAAAAATTGTCCTATCTTTCTCCTGAAAAGCTGTTCGTGGACTTGAACTGGCAGAGACACACTCCTGTTAGGTTAGCAGTACAGTTCCCTAAGGACTGTGCCACGAAAGCTCCCTGAGGCACGATTAGAGGCAGTTAATACTAAGGAAACAAGATACAATTGATAGCATTAAGTTGTATCTTTAGTCAGTTTCTTTTCAAATACTGAGGGATCTACCTCTACCAATAAAGAAGAGCTGGAAGCAGAGCACAGGTTTGAATCTGAGGTTTCTTGTGCTGAACACTTTCAATCCCAGGGAAAAACTGATGCCAGGACACTTGGAGCTTTGCAAGGAATCCTGGGCTTACTGATGTTGAAAGGAGACAAACACCTTCTCTAAAGGTGGCAGAGAGAGAAAGCTACACTAGAGTTGGTGCCCTGATTTTGGACTTCTAGCCGGATGTGCTTTCTCTCTTGATCATTCTTCTTGACAGTCCTGAGGGCCCTCTTAGTTTATATCTCCTTTTATCTGTGAAAGAAAAGACAGTCCAGGTCATGTTCACAGGGAATCAACAGTGTGAGCTGAGTAAGGTTATTGCATCCCACCCAACACTTCATTGCCTCATCAGATCATATCGTAGGAGAATGATTGTCATATACATCTTTCCATTCTGTCCTACATTTACTATACTCTAGCTAAATTGCCACAGTTTTGGAGGGAAGACACAGTTAAATTTTTGACAGGCAATAAAGTCAGATATTACGAATTTTTTTTTAAAAAGCTTAAATATTATTTCTTTCTCCTGTTTCACAGGCAACCAGATAAACTAGTGGTAGTGTGGACAAGAAGAAGCCGAAGGAAATCTTCAAAGGTTAGTCTGTTTTCTGAATTTTTACCCAAATGTTGAATTAAACATTGTAATTATTCATATTTTATATTAAAATTATATATTACTAATTAATATATATTTATTAATGATTCACATTATTTTGCTTTTCTTGGCACTGCAATTTTTTATGATTTCTGATAATGTACTAAAAGTGAATGAATGAGGTATTGTCATTTTGTGACTACGCTTCTTAAAATAGAAGCTAAATAGTTGAATTTTAACCTTGGATTTGGTAGCCTTGAGCAATATTACAGTTATTTTAAGCTTTCTGTACTAGAATGACATGAATAAAGAATTAGAGTTCTGTTCACAAAAGTATACCTTAGATTCATTTATTCAGATTAAGGATACCCTAGAAATGGGTTATATAAGCCTGTTGCTCAGTTGCAAAAGAAAAGAAATTGGATTTTTTATTTAATGGTTTTTGTTGTACAAAGAGTAGGTAGCATAGGGATGATTTTATCTGATTCTACTAATTCCACAACAGGAAACTACCCCTGGCAACACCATCCACCATTCAGAACCAGTCCCCGTAAGGTCAGACGTGTTTACCACGCCCTTGCACCTACTTCTACTAATTCCAGCACCAGTCTTATACTCTAATGGGTCTGAAATACATTGCAGTGACCACACAGATTCCACAAAACCGTACTCAAGGTTATGGGTTTATTACTGACGTTAACAGGTTACAGTTCTGGTTGGCAGCAGACAGTAATTCCTCAGCTTCTAAAGGATGCTCCTAGTCCCCCTGACCTTGAGCCTCACAGTTGAGATCACTGTTACACTTTTGCCTTCGTTTTGTCTGTTATGACATTGACCCACAGTCCTGTAGCACGCGTGGATGAAAGCCCCTGGCTCGGACTCCCTGGGGCAGCAGCGCCAAGTCAGCTCTGCCTCATGTGGGTCTCTGGTTTTCTGCTCGGGCTGCTCCTGTAGATCCAGTCTGATAGGCACAGAGTCACTAGCCCAAAGGACACGCGCTATACGAAGTACTTCCTCTTCCTTGCTGGGAGTGAGATTCCCATCTTTGGTGTTAAATTTGCTGACTTTAACTTATGTGAAGAAGAAAACTGACCAATACGTTAGTGATGACTTTAAACATACTCTGTTCCCCTTCAGATGGTGAGAACCAAAATCTGTCATTAGGAAAGCCATTTTGAACAATAAAAACTCTTATTTGGTTGTTTTATAGAAAACACTTTTAACAATTTAGAAAGATAATTTTTAATAATTTATAAAGCTTATTTGCTTGTTTTATAGTGATGATTTCATATAAAGAGAATAGAACTTTTATTTTTTTAAATGTTTTTTTAATCTTTATTGTATTATTTTTATGTGTACCATCAAATCAGATCTGACTGGTGCAGGAGGAGATTGCCCCCTCCTTCTCCAGCAGAGCATCTGGTAGAATAGAACTTTTATGTTAAAATGTTAAATGAAAATTTATACACTTTAATGGATAATTTTTTTAAATTCCTAAATTTCAAAATTTTCATTAAGGATATCTTTTTATTTTTTAATATGAAGCTAAAATTTCCCTGTTTTAGCTTACTATAATAAAGTCCAGATCTTTTTTTTTTTTCCAGTGAATGTTGATTAATGTGTATTATTGCTGTCATTAATAGCCCCAATTCATGACTACCTTACTTATTTATTACAGAGTAGAAATGGTCAGTGAGGCTTTCATAGCTGCTGTCTTGACAGAGGTGGATGGCCAGGCATTTTCTTCCAAGGAGCCATTGAGTGGGTTTGATCTGTCAGCCTTTAGATTAGCAGGCATTCACAAGCCACTGTACACCCGGGCTTCTTGATAAATGTTTATGTTATGATTAGAATAGCTGTACTATAATATGTAGAGAATAGACACTCTCTTTTAATTTCACTCCGTTCTCATCCCCCAGGGACAGTCAACTATTCTGATTTCCTGTCACCATAAACAAGATTTCTGATCCTTAAATTTCATTTAAGTGGAGTCATATAGTATGCATTGTTTAGTATCTGAATTTTTTGTGTTCACACTTAGCATTTTTGAGATTTGTTCATGTTTTTTTATATTGCTTATTGTTGTTATGTGCTGTCGAATCACTAGCAACTCATAGCGACCCTGTGTACAATAGTTCTATACCGTGTTCTATCCCATGCCAATCTTTTTGTCTCTGACACACCTACCCCCATTAACACAGTCACTGAATCAGTCATCTCATTGAGAGCCTTCCTCTCCTGTGCTGTCCCTCCACCCTCCCAAGCATGACGCCCCTCTGCAAGGACTGGTCCCTCCTTGTAACATGCCCAAAGTATGTCAGATGAAACTTCAGAATCCTTGCCTCCAAGGAGCATCCTATCCTCAGCCTCTCTAGAATCAACCTGTTTGTTCTCCTGGCAGTCCATGGCAGTCAGTAGGCTTCTCCAGCACCATAGCTCAAATGCATCAGTTCTCCTTTTGTCATCCCTAGTCATTGTCCAGCTCTCTGACGCATAGTAATTACAAAGACTATAGCCTGGATCAGGCCTGCCTTACTCTCTAGACTGACATCATTATTCTTCAGTACTTTGGAGAGGTCTCTGACAGCAGACTTTCCCAATGCAATTTGTCTTTTAATTTCCTGGCTGCTGGTACCAAAAGTGTTGACTGTGAAGCTGAGTAACGTTACACTTCATGAATGTACTACATTCATTATTGTCTGTTTTCATGTTGTTAAACATATTTAAACAGAGTTTTCTCTCTGTTAACATTCTCTCCTATGAGTAAAGTCTCTGTGAATTTTAATGTATAATTATTTTGGGTACAGATATTTTCATTATTCTTGGCAAATGCCTAGGAATGAAATTGCTAATCAATACAGTAAAGACATTTTTAAGAAATTGTCAAGCAGTTTTCAGAATTTTTTCTATTTTATACTACCACCAGCAACATCATGTTGTTGTGCTGGTTGTTGTTAGGTGCTGTTGAATTGAGTACAACATATAGTGACCTTTTTAACAGTAGATCTGAACCTGGTCCTCTCCTGTCCCATCTTCAAACTTCCTGACATACTAGAGCCCATTGTGGCAGCCACCATATCAGTCCATCTGGTTGAGGGTCTTCCTCTCCTTTGTCGACCCTTCCAAGCATCATGTCCCTCTCCAGGGAATAGCCCCTTCCAGCAGCATGCCCAAAGTATGTGAGGCAAAGCCTCATCATCCTTGTCTCCGAAGAGCACTCTGACTGCACCTCTTCAAGACTGTACATGCAATCAAGATGAGTTAATGATAATTGGCAACTGCAATGCAGAAGTTGAAAAAAATGAAGAAGGAACAGTTTCAAAAATATGGGCTTGGTAATAAAAATGAGACTGGAAATAGAGTAATTGAATTTTTTATTTTCAATGATTTATTCATTACAAATACCTTTTTTAAAAGACCCAAATAACAGTATTACACATACATCACACCTGATGAGCTGCACAGGAATCAGATTGACTTCATCTGTGGAAGAAATTGTTGGAGAAGCTCAATACCAGCAGTCAAAACTAATCCAGGGTTGGACTGTGGGTCAGATCATCAATTATTTATGTGCAAGTTCAAGTTGAGGTGGAAAAAAAAATTGAAAAGAAGTCCACTTAACCAAGACATGATTTAAAATATATTCCATCTGAATTTTAAGATCATTTTAGGAATAGGTTTGAGGCATTGAACACTAATGCTCAAAGATCGGATGAATTGTGGAATGATATCAAGGGTATCGTTCATGAAGAGAGCAAAAAATATTACAGAGACAGAGGAGAAAGGGGAAAAAAAAGGAAATGAATGTCAGAAGAGACTCAGAAAATTGCACTAGCGTATACAGAAGCCAAAACAAAGGGGAAACATGCTGAAAAGAGCTGAACAGAAGATTTCACAGGGTGGCTCGAGAGGACAAAGCCAAGTATTGTAATGGAATGTGCAAAGAACTGGATTTGGAAGATTAAAAGAGAACTTCCTCTGCATTTCTCAAGCTGAGAGAATGAAAAAACAAATTGAATTGCAATACTGAAAGATTCTATGGGCAACATACTGAATGACCCAGAAAGCATCAGAGGAAAATGGAGGGTACAGAATAACTGTACCAAGAAGAGCTTATTGACACTGAAGAATTTCCGGAAGTACTATATAAGCAGGAGCCAGTGGTAATGAAGGAGGAAGTGGAAACTGCATTGAAGGCATTGGCAAAAAATAAGGCCCCGGGAATTGATGGAATACCAATCGACTTGTTTCACTTAACAAAGGGAGCCTTTGATGTGCTCACCAGTCTATGCCAGGAAATTTGGAGAACACCTGTCTGGCCAGTGGATTGGAAGAGGTCCATATTTGTTCCCATTTTCCAAGAAAGGTGATCGAACTGAATGTGGAAATTACTGAACAAAATCATTAATATCACATGCAAGCAAAATACTGCTTAAAAATACTGATTAAAAAATGGCTGTAACAGTACATAGATAGGAAACTGCCAGAAGTTCAAGCAGGATTCAGAAGAGGCCGTGGCACTAGGGACATCACTGCAGATGTTGGATGGATCCTGGCTAAAAGTAGAGAATACCAGAAGAATTGTCTATTTGTGCTTTATTGACTATGCAGAAGTGTTTGACTGTGTAGATCCTAACAAGTTTTAGCTGACATTGAGAAGAATGGGAATCCCAGAGCATGTAATTGTGCTCATGTGAAACCTTTACCTGGACCAGGAGGCTGTTGTTTGAACAGATCAGGAGAACACTGCATGGTTTAAAATTAAGAAGGGAGTGTGTCAGGACTGTATACTCTCTCCATACCTATTGAATCTATATGCTGAGCAAATTATTCAAGTGTTTAATTATCCTTTTTGCAGAGTTTGAGCTACACAGTGATATTTTGTCATCAGTCATACTTTTCCCATTTTGTCCTCTAATTCTCACTTCCACGCACTCTTCTGTTTCCACCTTTCCCCCTCTTGTCTTCAGGACTTTTTCTCTTTGAACAGATGCTTTTTT